GTCCCCTCCCACTCGCGGTAAATTCTTATGCAACCTTCAAAGCCCATCTCCAAAGCGGGTTTCCGAGCACTCTTCCCCACCCATTGCGCTCGCTCCCTGCCTCCTTGGTGCCGTGCCCACGGCTCACCGGAGTGGTGATGGTGCGCACGCTGGAGCTGGACAGCCGGGCTTAGAATTCCAGCCGTGCCGCTGGCCAGCGGGTCTGTGTGTGCTACATGGCTTTTTCTACAAACCTCAGCTCCCCAACTCCGGGTGACTTACCCCAGGTGACTGCGCCTTTGTTGGAGGGCCCGTGAGGTAGTGGGCTGGGAGGGTCTGACAGCGTTCGCTTGTGTCCAGGTGGTGGTGGCGGGGGCCGCTTCTTGGACAGGGTGGAGGTGCCGCCGGAGGTCTGCATGCCGAGGGGGAGTGTTGAAGGTGGGCCAGTGGGACCTGGAAAGGCACCGAACGGGCAGGAAGGTCAGTCCCGGTCTCATCGAACAGCCGGTGTGCAGTCACTTCACACATCGACGGCGGCACGACAAGGGGAGGGACAAAAGCGCAGGCCGGAGGTGGCCGCGCCCGTCAACCCAGTGATGCCCAAACAGGGTTTCTAAAAGTTGCTGGTGAGAAACAGTGACAACAGAGGGAAGGTGAGTGTGTCTCTTTAAGAAACAGGAGGCCAGTCAGCATGACATGCCAATGCATTGAGATCACTTAGGTACAACGGGAAAGAACCACGCGCTTTGAACAGTAAGTCACTGGAATCGTGGCGGAAGCTACTGAGGAGGAGGCACCGCCAGGGAAATCAATGAGCCAGAGCAGAACGGGCCGCAGGCTGAGGCTCGAGGCCACAGAACAGGACTCTTCTCTCCGCCACAGCCTTGCCTTTAAGTCCGTACACTTTGCCCAAGTTTTCTTTTTTAATATATTTTTACTGATTTTAGAGAGAGGGGAGAAGGAGAGAGAGAGAAACATCAATCTGCTGCCTCCTGCCTGCCCCCTACCAGGGATTGAGCCGGCAATGCAGGCATGTGCTCTGACCGGGAGTGGAACCACCACCCTCAGGTCCATGGGAGGATGCTCAACCCAACTGAACCACACTGGCGGGGCCCGAGTTGTTGGTAATGACTTGTATAAATAATGGAGGATGCTGAAGTAAAAAGAATTACTCGGAAGAAAAAAGAAATCCAAAACCTCTTTTTCCCTCCAATTCTGATGACTGTTCTGGGCCTCATAAGCTACCTATTATATTAGAAACTCAATAGGTTACATACATTAGACATCGGTTTCTACAGATTTAAAAAAAGACAAGTTTCTTCAGAGACAAAGACAGGCTAGCAGTAATCTTATGAATATTACACACACACATACACACGCGCACACACACACACACCATTACTGCAAAAATGCTGACTTTTTTGAACTGATGTTTTAAGAAAGAAAAAAAAGTTGGTTGTTAGTTTTGTTTCTGGAAAGTGGCACTGAAGTGCTGGTGGGTGCCAGGCAGTACCTGGCGGGCACTGGATACACGTCTCTGTGACTGTCACCAGGTGGACGTTTTAACTGTGTTCATGAATAACTGCTCCCGCAAACGTTAAAATTAAAAGTCAATAAAAAGGAGAGAAACAAAGAAAAGCGGAGAACACGGCCACACCACATGTGAACACAGGACGGGAGGTACCTGGCGATCCAGACAGGCTCCCAAAGAGCTTTCTACATTCTGCGTGTCAAAGGGAAGCTCAGTCACTGCCGGCCTCCGCCTGGTGACGTAGCACTGACGCTTCCCATGATCAATCACCGATCAGTACCGACATCAACTTAAACCATTTTCTCAGTCGGCAACTGGTTACTCGCTCGGCCTTTGGGATTCAGTGGCCCTCTATGTAGTTTATTCTCTCAATCCGATGATGCCCTCCATCTCGAAGCCTGCCGTTACCCCAGATCAGGGCAATCCCAGGACCACTTTATCTTTGAAGCAACAGTCACTGTTGCTGCACCCCTGCACGTGTCTGAAGCTTTCAGTTTCCCAAAGTGTCCGCATAGGCCATTCCCCTTGCTTTTCATAAAGGCCCCGTAAAGTATGCGGGTGGGGAATTATGGCCCCCGCTGTGCAGCCAGGAAAGTGGGGAACTGGAGACTTTAGGGTGACAGGCACACGGGGTGAGCTGGGACCACACCCCAGGCCTCTGGGACAGGGAGGCACTCACCCCCTCCCACAATGCTGCAGTTCCCCAAAGCCAGGGCAGCAGCGAATGCTGTGTGAGGAAGTGTAACTTCCTCCTGGAAGTAAATGGGGACTGGATAATGGACAAGTTCATCTCTATCGCCACCTAGGGACGCACTGGGGCACTGCATCCGAAAGGTCATTCAATCGGTTCCAAATCCTGTCTGGAACCACACATCACCAGGCGAAGCGCTAAGGGAGCGATGTCTGAGCAACGCTGCCTGTGTGTGCAGGTGATTTCAGGGGCCATCGGGCCAGGGTCGTCCCGTAGGTAACCACAAACCGTGCAAAACTGAGCCTCTGGGATCATTTCAAAGGGAAGAGACTGGTGTTCCTCATGCCATGTCAGCCTTTCTTCCCATCAGCTATAGCATCTGTGATGACGGCTTTGTTTACGTGCTGATGGCCTGTCTCGCTCACTGGGCCGCAGGTTCTGGTGTACAGTAGGATGGATCTAGTAATTTAACACTGAACTAATGGATGAATAGTTTGAATTCAACCTCCCCCAAGAAGGCTCCATCTTTAAAAGCCAGGAAATCTATCCACTGAAATCCAGAAAAACTGCCCTGAAGTCATTCAACTACACCCACACATAGATATTTTAAAAAATTCATTCCTAGAATCCCAACCAACATGCCTGTCAAACCTCCCCCTCCATTCTTGAGTCCCCGTGGAGCTCCCGCGTTCTGAGCGCCACGTGGTGGCCTGCAGCCAGGAGCCTCACTGCGCCACCTGGAACCCACCTTCCTGCCGCATTGCCATCAGGGACCGCGGCTCGGAGCGGAGGACAGCCAGTCCCTGTAGGGAATCAGCTGAGGGACTCTGGCCGGCTCAGCGCCACCGCAGCCTCCAGCTTCTCCTCCTGGGAGGCAGCAGTCCCTTCTGCGGGAGCATCCTCCCTGGTCAGGTCGGCTCAAAGGTCATCTCAGGACGCCTCCTGGGACTCAGCCCTCTGCCCAGAGCCATTGCGTTTATCTCTGACCTCCCACGAGGACCGACGTCACTAGCTTCTCTGCCTGCTTTTCCTGCCGTCAGCTTCCTGTGCGCAAGATCCGCAGGCCTCCACTGCCCGCACCTTCTGGGCTAAGGCGGGTCTGTGGTGGAAGCCAGGCGGATTCCTTTCCAGAGTCCTCATACCTCTGGTTGTTGGTCAAACAGAAAACCCAGGTCTTCCATGCAGGGAGACCAACTGAAATATAACTCGTTCAAAGGAAAACAAGACCCAGAAGAGGGCTTACAACTTTTCCTGGCATTCTCTGTGTAACTTCAGAATTCTAACACGCCTCCTGTGTGTGAACGACACAGGTTGCATCTGTACAGCTGTGGACAGTGCGAATGACAATGTTCCCACTTTCCCATGGTTTTCACAGGATAGAGCTGAAGAGTAGAAACTTTGTTACTTTAAAGGGTAAAGACAATGGGTTCATTCAGAGAGGAACTGCGCGTGGGAAGGAAGGCGCCGACATGGGGAAACAGGGGCACCTCGAGGTGGAGTGTGCGGACACACGGACCCCGCGCAGACCGACCAGGACCCCACATGGCAGGGGGCCCCAGGCCAGCAGCACGGCGCCGGCGGAGCCCTGCCACATGCCAGGCTGAGCTGAATGCCCCCTTCCTCCTCACCAGTGTCCACACCTGTCCCAGCTCAGCTGCAGTTTGGCCGCCGCTATGAGAGGCGTGGAATCGCACATGGGGAGGAAGAGGCAGGTTCACAGCTTAGTTGCTGAAAAACACGGTGAAGCTGTAGCACTGGTGTCTGTTTCCAGGGCCACGGTGCTCGCCACACTTCCCAATTCTAGAGGCCCCCGAAGCCGCAGCCCAGCAATCCCAGCAGGGGCCCCCCAGCAGCCCGGGCTCTGCTCTCCTAGAGCCTTTCTCCTGGGTGGTCGGTCTCCCTGGGTTCTGAGGGAAAGTCCACCAGGAGGGCAGAGGAGATGACCGTCTTCCCTGACACACAGAGGGAGGATCTAGGCGATCTGGTCGGACAGGTCCTAAGGCCCATTTCAATTTTCTGTCCCATCGCAGCCACCGAGTGACCTCACGTCCCTTAACCTTCCCCGGGCTGTCGCTGTGCAATGGGCTGTGGACTGGCCTAACCTTTCAGCACCCTCTTGTTCTCAGATATCCTGGCCCTATGACCTGATTTTAGCTGAAAGATGGAAGCCACAGTGATCCTGGTGAGCCTGGGAACGTCTATCGCAGTGGTTCTCAACCCGTGGGTCGCGACCCCTTTGGGGGTTTAACGACCCTTTCACAGGGGTGGCCTAAGACCATCGGAAAAACACATATATAATTACATACTGTTTACAGTAGCAAAATTACAGTTATGAAGTAGCAATGAAAATAATTTTATGGTTGGGGGTCACCACCACATGAGGAACTGTATTAAAGGGTCGCGGCATTAGGAAGGTTGAGAACCACTGGTCTATCTAGTTCTCAGGAGCGCACAGTGGGGCGGCAGCTGCACTTAAATCACGGCTCTGACCTCATCCCGCTGGGCCTCCCACCGCAGAGGGGGAGCCGCCAGCGCGCCTGTCTAGGCTCCAAGACGGCGTAAGGGCCCTGAATCGACGAGTCTTCCGCTGCTGACAGCTCTGCCCGAGCACAAGGAGGCTTTGCTTGGAGGCCATGAGGTCAAACTTCCTTGCATTTTGATGAGGCAGCTGGAGTTTCCGGAAAATATTCCGGAGCTGGATTCAGAATGATTCCTCTTTCCCCCTCAGTCCGACGACTGGGGGACTTTAACTTTAGTGTCTGTCTCCGCCTCCCCCGAGCCGGCGCCCTGCAGAGCCTGCCTCACTCTCAGGGCAGCAGAGGCCTCGGCGAACGCGCCACAGAAGGTGGGCAGCCCGAGCGACCCAGGCAGGACATCCTCGCTTTCACTTAAACGTGTCTATCGGTCCAACAGAATGAAACGGGGAAGAGTAAGGGTCACAAGCCAGGGGGAGCCACCTCCGCACCGAGCACCAGCCGATCTGCAACAACGTCCTCTACGAACTCGCTCTGCGCCTGACCGCTTCCCAAGTGCACGGCACGTGAGCCCGGCGAGAGGCGGGACGCAGCCCATGCTTCGGGTCCCTTCAGCTTCCCAAGAAGGCCGCTCCCTAGCTGGGCAGCAGCATGATGCCCGCACAGCCCAGGGCTAAGGCCCAATCTATCGTCAGTGGTTTACAGAGGATGTGGACGCCTGACTTAGGTACGTGCCAGCAAACGTGGGGAACAGGAAGAAACACACTGTTGGTGAAACTTCTGGCTCACACGTGCTGTCACGGTCACGGTCACTGGTTATCTGCGAGGAGAACTATTCACACCAAAGCCTCCGTTTAACTTTTCTCCGTGACGTTATGATCTATGAGGCCATTTGGGTCTGTGAGAACACAGCTCCCATTTACAGCGCCATCTCAATGGAGAGTAAGCTCTGAAAAAACACTGTTTTGAATAAAGCTCACATTTCCCAGAAAATAGCCCCAGTGTGAGTGCAATAGGCCCGCATTGTGTGCGGAGCGGCCTGGAAGCGCGTGAGCCGCTGCGCTGCGCTGCGCAGGGGGAGCCCTGGCTGAGAACAAACCCCAGGCTCCGGCCCGGGGCCTCTCGACTTCCCCGGCTGTGGGACCCTTTGATGTGGGCATTTCTGGGCCTCATCTGTCCCCGTCCCTGTCAGGGAACACGCCGACTTCCTGCGCAGGATGGTCTCTGTGGACCCAGGGGCGCAGGACAAGCACTTGTTGCTGGAGAACAGAGCGGTGGCCCCGGCATTGGCCCCTCGGGGGCACCCGACACACCTGCCAATCACCTCCTCCGGGGAGGATTCTGCTGCACGGCCTGCCTCGTCCGAGGGACGGGAGGGTGGGCTCAGGCCACACAGGGCCCGGTCAGCATCCGCACAGCCGAGAGCCGGAGGTCACTTACTCAGCATCTCTGAACCACTGTCTCTCTAGTTCAGTGATGGCGAACACTTATATTTTTGATATTTATTTTATATATTTAAATGCCATTTAACAAAGAAAAATCAACCAAAAAAGTGAGTTCGCGTGTAACCTCTGACACGCGTGTCATAGGTTCACCATCACTGCTCTATTCCCCACGATGCCAGCCACTGTCACACCCGCCTCACTGTGAACAAGAAATGAGAAAGACTGGGACTAGGGCCTCCAGGGCTCTACCTGTAACTAATGCTGCTGCCACACTGTCTTCAGAAGAGAGGCATGCTGGTCTGGAGGAAAGCCACTTTTATATAACAAGAATCCTTACGAAAGAGGAAAGAGCCCAGGTCTTGGACGCTATGTGGACCTCGGATTGAATCTCAACTCTACCACTTACCAGCTACATGACCTTGACAAGCCACTCCACTTCCCTAAGCCTCAGTTTCCATATCTGCAAAATGGGCACGAAGAGCACATCCCAGACAGGACTGCCGTGAGGTTCACACAGAATGCGTGAGGCATGCCCACAACACCGCCCACCTGGCTGCTGGTGCCAGCACCCCACTCCAGACTCTGCCACCCACGTGCGCCTGGCAATTCTACCTCCGGGCTGCGTAACTCCTAGCCCTGAGGATGGAGCCACAAGGCCCTTCTCAAAGCTCGTACCTTTGCCGGCGTTTCGAGGAGGCAATGGAGGTGCCTCCGAGGTGGGTGATGTGGGGGAGTCTGTGCTCGTGGAGGTGAAGATCTGGTTGGTGAAGGCGCTGTAGGAGAGCCGCTGCTTGTCCCGCTGGGTGCCGAATCCCGGCTGCGCCAGCTTGTCCTGCGGGGAGATGCTGGAGGAGTGGCAGAAGCTCTGGGGGCGGGGCGAGCGCTCCTTCTTGATGGGGCTCGGCTGGAGGGAGAGGACAGTGCAGAGGGTGAGACAACCCTCCGGACGCCACTGCGGGCGGGTCCAGGGGTAACCTGGGCACCCACAACCCTGGCCCGAGAGGACCACACAGGACAGGGAAGGACGCAGACCTTACGCTTCCGATCCTTGTGTCACCACTGCCAGGGTCATGTTAGGGAAACACTGGTTAGGGGTCAGCAGCGGCCAGAAGCGTAAGGTCCCAGTTAGGTTTAACCTTTAATCTGCAAGTCCCTCCGGGTGCAGGCCATGGCCACCAGCATTTGAACAGATTCCCACCGCCTACAAGTGGCCACATTAAACGCTCCTTTGTGGTCAGCCATTTGAAGCCAAGATTCTCAATCCTACCTCTCTTCTCACTTGCATCCGCGTAGAAGTAACCTCATCCACACCCCTGGCTTTGACTGACCCCAATGCTGACTCAGACCTGCAGGTCCCACCCCACCTCCTGGACTCAAAACCATTTTCATGCCTGTGAGGGTCCCTGGGTCTGTATCCTGGTGACAGCTTTAGCATCCACTGCTTTCAGAGTCAGGACCCTCCGTGTCTGCCAGTCACCAACTGTGCACGGCGAGCTCAGGGACGCCCCTCGGACTGTGTGCTCAGGACCCTTCAGCTCCCACAGGAGCAATGGCCCCTGAACAGCCCGATTCCGTCTCCTTCAATCTGTTTTCCACACAGACACAGGGCAGGTAGGAAACATGCCCTTCCCACAAGAAATCTCTGTTGGCTCCTCACTGCTACTGGTTGTTAATTTGAAAAATTCATTGGCTTTTCCAAAGCCGAAAGGTCACATGTGGCCCACAGAGCCTTCCTGATCTGGGCGGCCTGACCCTGCGGCGGCCTCCTGCCTCTCTCCGCCCAGCCCACATGCAGGTCGCCTCACACACGGTGCTTCTAACCTTTCCTCAGACGTCCGGGCTCCAGCATGACCCCCAGGCCTTTGCACACGCTGCTCTCCCTTCCTGGAAGAATGCATTCCTCCTCCTCTGCCCGGCCAGTTCCTCCCTACCGTGGGAGCCCATCTCCACTGCCCGTCCTTGACGGGTCTTCAGTGCTGTGTCCTCCGAGCACTCCTCAGCAACCCCCCAATTCCCATTATTAGGGTTTCCACTGTCGCCTCTAAATGTCTCCTCTAAAGTGGGAACGCCTCAGGGCACCTTTGTCCGGCCAGCTCTGGCCATTCCTCGCATCCTGCCTGGGAAGGAGCATCGCCCCCACATGCCCAGTGAAGGGTGCACAGCCAGCCTCAGAGCTCGCTGAGAACGACCTCTGGGAGCCGGACAGAAGCAGGTCTGACCGAGACCGCCTCCACCAGCTGACACTGCAGACGAGTTGCAAAATGTCCGTGTGTCAGTTTTCTCCTCTGCAGCAGGGACAAGAGCACAGTGGGCGTTCCTAAGAACAACCTGGGGGGACACGGGCGACATGCCTACCTCTGCCCAGTCCACGTGCGAGTGCTCGATAACTTATTCTTTACTCGTCAGCTGTTTTGAGGGCTAATTTTAAGTGTCAACTTGGCTAAGTCCTGGTGCCCAGGTGTTTGGTCAAACAGCAGCCTAAGAGTTGGCTGGGAGGGTGTTTTTTAGTGTGGTTAACATTTAGATGTGGAGTGAAGGGGATACCCCCCATAATGGGGTGGGCCTCAGCCAGTGAGCTGAAGGGCTTCGGAGAAAAGACTGAGGTCCCCCCATCCTGTTCCCCGAGGCTCCAGAGTTCTTCGGACTCAAGATTGCCAGGATTCCCAACCTGCCCATACATTTGGACTTGTCAGCCCTCAGGTGCATGTGAGCCAACTCCCTAAAATAGATTCCATGCTTTCTCTCCAGGGAAACATGTCCCATCGGCTCTGTTTCTCTGGAGATCCCTGACTGATGCAGCTGCTACGTGGGACCCAAAGGAGCACCCGGTCTGAGCCAAGAGAACGGCCCTGGTGCATCAGGTCCTAAGACCAAGCGACCCCACTCAGAGTCCTGTTAGTGCAGAGAAACAGGGGAGATGCACTCAGAGCCCCAGAGGCCGACTCACACTCACCTTGTCGTCCAGGTCGTCGTCGCTCTCATCCATCTCCTCCTGTCGCAGGTTCCATTCGTATTCCACGTGGACGTGTGGGTTGAACTTTCCGGACTTAGCCTGGGAAAGCTGAAAAGAACAGTGGGTGCAGCCATTGTCATTCAAATGCCCAACACCCCAACGTTATAGCGGCGCTGACCAAGCCCCATCTATTCCTGGGTCCCAGTTAACCACCAGCAGCGGCTTTGGAAGCAGCCCCCTGGCCGTCCACGCTGGACCAGCAGACAGCTCAGAGAAACCGCCAGGAATTCCAGGCATGGTCTATTTTAGTTTGATAACGTGACTTCTCTCCAGGATGTAAAGCTTTTTAAAATATTATTAAAATGGCCCTGGTCGGTTTGGTTCAGTGGATAGAGCGTCAGCCTGTGGACCGAAGGGTCCCAGGTTCGATTCCGGTCAAGGGCATGTACCTTGGTTGTGGGCACATCCCCAGTAGGAGGCGTGCAGGAGGCAGCTGATCAATGTTTCTCTCTCATTGATGTTTCTAACTCTCTCTCTCCCTGTCTCTCTGTAAAAAATAAATAAAATATATTATTAAAATGAGTCTCAAAACAGCAAATTCTTGGCTGGAAGGCAAAATCACAGTCAGGGACGTGCGAGGGGAGGGTCTTTCAGGTTAGACAGTCCCAGTTCAACCCATGTCCCCTGTTCTCATTCACACACGGGGCGGGACACCCAGACCTGCTCGGAGGAGTCTCGGAGGAACAGAAAAGCGCCACAGGGGCCTGGAGCTCGAGAAGGTAACCTACCTTTCCTATCTCAACCTTCCCCAGGTTATGAGCACCGTGTTCCGCTGCGGCCTGAAGCTGTGAGCAGGGACCGGTGGGAGCGGAAAAGGTGAGTGCATGCAGGGACGCGAGGGAGAGAGCAGCGTGCTTAACATTTAAAGACCATCGTACTCTGCCTTTGGCTGGCCCGACTATTTGGCCTCCCAGATAGGTCTTCCTGACCGGGAGCCACAGAGAAAGCCGGATGACCATGACCCGTAAGCCCGGGTGGTAACACCGCCTCTCACCCGCCTCCCAGCTCCTCATCACAGCTGCCCTCCAGGGACAGGCGGATGACACGTTTATTGTGTTTTCAAATGCAGCCAGAGTGCTTGTCGGAATTTCTTTAGCCAAGGTTAAAAAAAAAATTGCTTCTTTTATCTCCAGTTCCAGTTTCAGACAACGCCACTTCAGGGCAGCTGATGTCTATTAGCTTGCTTACCACATTTTTTCTTTTATTTTTTAAAATATTATTTTTAAAATATTATTTTAAAATATTATTTTTAAAAACATTATTTTTTAAAATATTATTTTTATTGATTTCAGAGAGGAAGGGAGAGGGAGAGAGATAGACACATCAATGATGAGAGAGAATCATTGATCGCTGCCTCCTGCACGCCCCCTACTGGGGATCGAGCTTACAACCAGGGCACGTGCCCTTGACTGGAATTGAACCTGGGGGCCCTTCGCTCTATCCACTGAGCCACACCAGCCAGGGCTGCTTACCAGATCTTCGCATTGAGTGGCTTTCAGTCTCTTCGCTATGTCGAGGGCAGTCTCTCCAGCCTGGTTCACTGAAATGGGGAAGAGACATGTGCATGATTAGGACAGACCTCGAAAAGGCAGAGACCATGATCAGATTACAGGCAGCAGGCAAGCTCAGGTCCAGCCATGGCTGCTGAGCCCCACGTGCGCGTGCTTACCAACGTCCACGGTGGGCTTGCTCCGCAGCAGCAGCTTCAGGCACTCGGGTTTGTCGAACATGCTGCAGTAGTGCAGGGCCGTGTTCCCCTGGGCCGTCTGCTTGTCCAGGTTCCCACTGAAAAACCAGAGCGGCGGGAAAAACGGCTGCCTCTCCCACCCAGCACTGCGGGTGAGCCCCTTACGTCTGGGCTAACAACGGAGTCCAATTTCAGACCTGGCTATCATAAACTTAGGAGGTTTCTAACATTTCACCCAAATTTACAACCAACACAGGATGCCAGTGGTCAGCACTGACTGCGTGTATTACGAGACAGCACTGCCTCTTAGCTTTTCACCTGTCTTAGCTCATGTAACCTTCACAAGATGCTACTGCAGAGGGGACACAGTGTATGCGTATGAGATTACCAAGACATGGATGATGGAGCAAGAATGTGAACGCAGGCAACGTGTGTTCTTCACCAATGGTCTTGACCACTGCACCTCTAAGGGGCCTGGGCACTGATACAGCTTAGCTTGGGTCACTTGTGGGTTCAAATGCCCTCACGAGCAAGTCCAAAGCTCCTGTGCTGACTATTATACTCCTATTAAGCACGCCCCAAGTCTGAATCAGCGACCGAGGCAGCCACATACACTGCTGTCTTACAATGAACATCCTGTGGACCTGCCCTGTTAAGTCTTTTCTTCCCCAACCTCCCAAGTGCAGAGGTTTTGGACCCAGAGACAGGATTTTACCTTTACGTAGACCAGGGGTTGGAGAACCATAGCTGCAGGCCTTCTCTGGCCCTCCATTTGTTTTTGTAAATACAATTTTATTGGAACATGCCCACGCCCACTCATTTGCATACTGCCTTGGCTGCTTTCATAACTGCAACGGCAGTGTTGAATGCGACAGAGACCGCATGGCCTGCAAAGCCTAAAGTAGTATCTGGCTCTTTAAGAAGGGTGTGCTGATTACTGATCGCGGCTGCTAACAGGACTGGTCTGTGCTAATGTACAAGGCCCATTCAGAGCAAACAGAAACCATACCAGTTTTGGACAAGGAAATCAACCAAATGGAGAGATGTCTGGTCTGCAGTCCGGACTGCAAGATGAAGGGCGGTCTCCCCGAGCTCCTGCAAAGGACAGGCAAGTATAAATAGGCGGTCGCATGTCCTACTTTGTCTAGAGCAGTTTCCTTCACGTCGTTACCCCAAAGTAATTATTAATAACCCCCCTCCCCTCTCAGATTGTCCTGATTCAGACGGGGCACTCGGTGTGTTACAGCCTCATTATAATAATGAGCCATCTTTGAAACGGACTGTCCACGGTGCTCTCGACCCGATGATGTCAGCGCAGCCTCACCTGCCCGGGCTCCAGCAGTGGCTCCATGAGCTCCACGCCTTCCGCGTAGACCTGGACGAGTGCAAGTAAGTCCCGGGACCTCACGGCCTCCAGCAATTCGTTCAGTTTAGCTGACGGAGATGAACAGGTCTTCCGCGAAAACCGATGATCCACATACTTCGCCGTGATGTACTCCTTCCGTGCAGTCCTAAACAGCACGAGACGAAGCCTCGTCATTTCCCAGGGGTGAGAAAGGGTTATATCTTTGCAGACCAACACTTCTTTCTGAGAAGAGTCATTTTAATTAAGAGACTTCCTTATAGACCTACTGGGAGATCTGATGATGTCAGAGTGGAAGAAACGTGCTCCTTGGCCGTGCCCCATAATAGTTTTGTGAACTTGGTGCCCAAATAACCACCCAGGAGGGGCTGGTCTAACCTTTAGGCAGGCGTCTGCGTCACAAAACCTTCGCTGATCGCGAGAAGAAAGAATGATATCTTTCTTCCTAGTCACCCACAGTATTAAACAAATTTCAAGTGCAAAGTCAATGTAAAAATTTTTGAATAGTTTTAAAGATTCACTTGACTCAAAAAACTAAAAATGATACCAGAAGGTGTGTATGGAGGCGTCTCACAGTCACACCACCCAGAGCAAGCACGTAAGTTTGCTGGGGATTTCCCGGGTTTCGTCAAGCAAATATGTCAAGTAAGCGTATGTTTATGTATTCGTCGCTGTCCAGATCCATTTGGTGCCTGAGTCCAGACAGTAAATTGTGAGAGTTCAAAAGTGAGGGACAGATCACCTCCCCTGACAGCGATTCAGTTCCTGAGTTTGGATGGCATGTCTGCGACCAGAGGGATTCGCGCACTCATTCCCACGCCTCCTCCTCCCTCCCCAAGCCAGGCAGCCAGACATGAGGTACGTAGTCAGATGCCTATAGAAGGACACTCGCTTTGTCCCTCATCTTCCTCCATGACACAACAGGAATGAACACCCAGAAGTGGGGCTGCCGAGTCACAGGTAAACACACTTCTGATTGTGACAAATACAGCGAGCTTGCTCCTCACGGGCAGCGTGCCACCTGGATCCCCACCAGCAGCGCCAGGGACCCTGGGATGGCTGCTTCCCCAGTCTTGCCGCGGGGCTGTCACGCATCCAGACCTTTGCCAACCTGACAGGCGTCTCCCACTGCTGTTGTGTCTCCTATTTATCACAACAGGCGCGATTCAGAGAATCGTCCTCATGAAGCTTCACCCTCCAAGCAGACGCCACTCCCGCGGGGGAGGTGATGCTGAAAATAACCCGTGCGTTCCAGAAGCATGTTGCAAAATACGCTTCGTTGCTCTGCCTTTTCCTCATAATGGGGTTTCCTCTTGGGGGGGTGGTACTATAACCACGAAGATGTTTTTGGGGAGGGTTGAAAAAACAATGGTAGATGGTAAAGAATTCAGTATGTTAGAAATACTTACATGTCACTCATTGGGGTAGGTTTTGGTGAGGGGCTGGGTAAATTTGCTTCCATAATATCATTGAAACTATTGTTCCCAATAGTCTTGGCCAACTGTAACATAAACACAACATAGCAAACTCGTTACTACTGGTTTAAAAGTTCCCAATTATTGCTGAATATGTACCTTCCTGCACTTGACTCAGGATACAAGCCATCCATCCATCTCAGTGGTTCTCAACCTTCCTAACGCCGCCACCCTTTAATACAGTTCCTCATGTTGTGACCCCCAACCATAAAATTATTTTCGTTGCTACTTCATAACTATAATGTTGCTACTGTTATGAATCGTAAATATCTGATATGTAGGATGTATTTTCATTGTTACAAATTGAACATAATTAAAGCATAGTGATTGATCACAAAAACAATATGCAATTACATATGTGTTTTCCGATGGTCTTAGGCGACCCCTGTGAAAGGATCGTTCGACCCCCCATAGGGGTCGCGACCCACAGGTTGAGAACCGCTGATCCATCTGGTCAACAAGCATTTGCTGAGCACTTACTATGTGCCTCACTTCTGGTTGAGGGGTTTATTCTAATTGGACAGAAAAGAATTTAGAATTCCTTTGTATTTGGGATACAAATTAAGATGCGGCGCTGGCCGGTGGTGCTCAGTGGTTGGAGTGTCAGCCCACGAACCGAAGGGTTGCGGGTTTGATTCCCAGTCAAGGGCTCGTACCTGGGTTGCAAGTTCATTCCCTGCCCACCCCCGACCCTCCCTGGCCTGGTCAGGACATGAGTGGGAGGCAATCAATTGATGTCTCTCTTTCTCTGCCTCCCTCCTGTCTTCTCCTCCCTCCTTCCTCCCTTCCACTCTATCCGAAGGCAACGAAAAAATATCCTCAGGTGAAGATTAAAACAAACAAAAACGATGCGGCAGGCAACTGATGAAGAAGCTCCACGCTTCTGGGTTCAAGAACCTTACAAAAATTTTATCCTGAAGGTCCTTTGGTCGTTCAGATCATGTGGGCATCAATATAAAGTGTAAGAACGCTCATTACAGCCATCTCTGGGGAAAGGCGTGAGCTCATCACGTGGCGAGTGTTTAGCATGTGGACTCTTCCTGCTCCCAGTTATCACCCTGGGCTTCATTAATCGAGTCAAGGAGATGGGGTGATGCTGTTTCCACACTAAAGGAGGAAGTTTCAGGTGCGGGCCCTGAGCCTCTCCCCTCCAGTCCTGAGTGATTGGGGAGCCGGTATCAGAATACTTCCCAAGTTCCCTGCTCCCTAAATCGAGGGGCTCCTACACCCAAGACAGACCCCGTTGCTCACGGGGTGCTCAGACGACACGGCTGCCGGCTGGGGGCCTGACTCTGGGGTGCTGTGCACCGGACAAGCGCCTGAGGAGCTGGGCTTCCGGCTGTGGGGCCCAGGCTTGCTCAGGGTTTGCTCAAGGGCCTCGGGTCTGAGACGGAGCCTATGTCACGTCACGCGCTTTCACTGTTAAAGACCAGTTAGTATAAATCCAGGCCACCAGGTTCAAATTTTGCAAGACAGGGCTTCTGACCACAGGCATTCTGGGAGGCCTTCCCGACCGGATCTATGTACTGGGGGGACCCGATAAGGCTCCAAATTTGGGTGAATCATGATGGGAAGGGTAGGTGATAAGCTCAAACCTGCATAGTCCTTCCCTTACTACCTAACAAAGTCAGGGCTTAGGAGTGACTGGTTTTAGGACAGGAGCTAACAGGCTACTCACAATTCACGAGTACTTTTAGAAACAAAAAGTAAAAACAGAAAAACTCTTAGGTCACTGTTTCGGATAATATGAGCCCCTAGGTAAAGCGAGTGTGGGAGTTCAGAGCTTACCTCCCTTTGTGTTTTTTAGTGAGTCATGTAAGACTAATTCTGAAAGAAAAAACCGCTTTGAAAAGCCCACCCAGAAAAGAGAGCCAGCAGCTGAACTAAGTATGGAAATGCCTGACTCACCAGCTCTTCGCACAGGAAACGGAAACAGTCAACATTGCATACCACAAAATTCACATCTTAAATATCGATGCAAATTAAACAACATTCAGGAAGTAGAAGTCTGTGTACTCACCAGAAACAGAAACCTCAAAGCAATATGCTAAATACATTCACGACAATAAACGTATAAAGTTTTTTTCAAAGTACAGGCCACCACTCACCAAGAGTTCAGAAGTTCCCAGTTTGTCTAGTTCCAAAGACTGAATGCGGGAAACATGGACTCCCATTTCCCTGTGGATTCCAGAACATTCTATGCAGGTCAGAATACCCAAGTTGGTTGAAAGCCAGGTGGGTTCTGTGGAGAGGATTGTGAAGACAGTGAATAAACAAAGTATCTAATTGTAGTGTGCCAACTACAGAGGATGCTAAAACAACAGTGGTAAAATGTGAAAGAATTATGGGGGAAGATTTAAATGGAAGACATAGGTGCTTGCATTTGGCCGAGGGCCTATGATAAAAACCAATAGCTTGTTAGAGAGCAAAAAGTATAATAAAACACGTTTCTAAAAAATTTCCTTTCAATATTGGATTGAAAACCAAATGAAGTTCTTTATTCTTGTGAAGCGTGGGCAAGACTTCCATGAGCCTTCGGACACACCTGTAGGCCGGGTGGGGGCGCTCCCTCCGCACCTGCACCCTCCCCCACAGGGACGGCTGCAGACCTGCAGTCCAGCACAGGGACAGGCTCTGCAGCAAGCATGTCAAACTCAGCGCCCGCGGGCCGCAGGTGGCCCACAATGAATGTTTTTGCGCCCAGCCAATATAACAGTATGTAAGAAACATTTTAATAAAAATTTTATAACTTAATTTTAATAATATCCTGTTATACATCGTTGGTGATAACGAACTACAATGTTCGCTAATGACTGATGACTATAATCGTGTTGCATTCATTTCCCTTACGCGCCTTAGGCGCAGGCGCACCACTTCTCTCCACGAACACCAGCAGCGACTATTTCAGCAGCCAATGGCCACATCATCAGTCTTGGACTGACTTGTGGGCGTGCGCAACAGGAAATATTTCGCTTTCAGAGAAGAGCACAGGCTTATTTGCGTTACGCTTATTAACTTGTGCAGTTATTCAGTGTCTGGTAAGTTCATGTTCAAGAAAAAATATTATTTTTATTAAAATGTTCTATTATTTTATGTTAATGATGACTCATTTATTTCAACCCTTTGTATTCAACATGTCTCTACCGAAATAAATCTGTTTCTATGAAAATTGAAGCTTTTGTTTTTTTTTGCGGCCACATACACTTAAACCGTGTTTATGTGGCCCGTGTTAGCCTTGGAGTTGACATGCCTGCTCTACAGGCATCTTTAACCCCGAGTCACAACGCCCATGAGCCCATCATCTCGGTGACGGCCTGTCCACAAGTGCCTGTGGGTAAGAGCTTAGGCTCTCAGAGACCTTAGGCCTCTGTTTCTACAACCGAAAGGCTCCAGAACAGCAGGAACAAATATTTCTATTACCCGCACGTGCAGGGTCCTCCCTGTGGGCCAGCTTCCTTTCCATGGGTCAGTGCCCGGGCATCTACACTCCTCTGCCATGTCCTCCACCCAGTGAGTGCCTACCCCACACATCACGGGAGTGGCAGGAAACGAGTCGTGTCTCCGAGGGGCCTATGCCATGTCGGACAGAGAAGCCCATTTTCACAGGTAAAACATCATGGGTTGTAATGTGTACGAGCTACAGGTTTGCACCCATGTTGTGACCCCTCCTAGATGTGTGACCTTAGGCAAGTCACTTGCCCTCTGGAGCCCCCCATTTCCTCCTCTGTAAAATGGGGATAATATTAGCATCTTGCTCACAGAAGTTCTGTGAAGATTCAGTAAGATACTATAAGCAAAACAACTAGCAGGGTCCTTATGAAGCACTGAATAACGGTGACCTACTGTCACCTTCTAGGTAACACAGATGCTATTTGGAAATAGAAGTTTCCAGGTGATACGGAGGTTGGGAGGCTTCACTAGGCAGGAAGAAAAGTGATGTACCACGTGTCAGCCCCATCTACACGATTTCTTTAAGTCTTTGTAAGAACTGGCGTTTATGATTCCATTTTTAGGATGAGGAACCTGAAGATCAGAATAGTAAAGGGACTCGGCATGAGGCTGTCCAGGCTGCGAGGGGCAGGCTGGCGATTCAAAGCCGGGATGATGGACTCCAGGTCCAGCGCTCCCCCATGCTGCCCATGGTGCCATTTAACTGGACCTCACTAGGAAAGGTAGCATTCTGGCTGGGGACCATGTAGGGAGAGTAGGCGGGAGCTGTCTAGGTACAGCAAACAGCCCGGTCACTCACGCTGGGAACCCGTGTTGGGTGTGTCCGTAAGGAGGCAAGGGTTTTAGATTCCTAGCTCAGGCATCTTCCACAGGAAGAGGAAAAGGCATTTAACAAGCCAGCTCTGCTTTGGGGACACAGACCTGAGGAGCCGCAGTCACAGCAGACGTCGTTGCCAGGCAGCCTCTGGACATCCTCGATGATGGCTTTGGTCAGGTCTTCCAGGCTGTTCTCGCCCGCGCTCTGCTCTCCACGGAAGGCCATGGTCAGGGCCTCCTCTTTGCTGTTTGTCAGCACTGATATCCACCTGTGGTCAGAGCAGGGGAAGGAGACACTGTTTTCTCCTTACACTGTAACCAATCTGACTTCACCAAGGAACACCAAGAGACACCACTCCCCCTAACAATCAAGTAGGAAGAAAAGGAAAGGAAATAAACCTAAAGGAAAGAGAATGAAAGAATGGAAAGCAGCGAGTCAGAGAGAACGGCAGATGAGAGGACAGATGAGGGAGGCGGAGGTCTCTATCACTGAGGACCTGCAGGGACATCTGGACAGAACAGAGTGGACGTCAGAAGGAAGAGGACTCAGCGAGGGACCAGCCCAAGGTGAGGATGAGAAAGAACTGGTGACAGGAGGCAGGAAAGAGCTCAGCAAAAGGCATCAGTCCTCTGGAGGCCAACTCAGTGAGGCCCTTGACGTGGAAACAAACAGGATATTTCATTAGAAGTTGAGAAAATTTATGCTCAGGTGGCTCAGGTGGCCGCGTGGCTCAGGTGGTCCAAACACCACGGTTGTGGTTCGATCCCTGGTCAGGGGACATACAGGAATCAACCAATGAATGTGTATATGGGCCAATCAATGTTTCTCTCCCGCTGTCCCCCGCCCTCTAAAATAAATAAATAAAAATTAGAAAAAAAAAAGAAAATTTATGTTATGAAAAAGGTATATGAATATAGAAACATGCTGGCATTTTAATATAAAACAAAAAGTGAAGGCTATTAAATGACATAAACAGTATGATCACAGTATGTCTTGAACAAAACACATTTGCCACCAACCTGTGCATATGATAACCTAAATGCCCAACAACAGGGGCTGATTAAGGCCAGAAATAACCCAGCTACTGAAATTTAATTTTTTCTAATTTTTAATGACTTTGGGGAAATGCTCACAATATAATGTTTTGTGAAATAAACAGGAAAAACTATTGCACGATATAACCCCAAATTTAAATGCATGTACGGATTACATATTTTTGTTTGTGGAAAAAATGGCTAGAAAGAAATTCATAAAATATTAATACCGCTTGTCCCTGAGTGACCTTCTGTAGAAAAATGGAGAGATGGATTGCCTGACTCTGTGCCTTCCTGTAATTTTCCATCTATAGGGAGCTTGTGTCAGTTTCATGGATGAGGAAAAAGAGCCAAATTTATTTTTTTAAGAAGAAAAGAAAAAACATTTCCCAATCACAGTTTGTTCTCACCAATTGCAGAGTCAGGTAATATCTATTCTCAGCAGAGAATACAGAGGTCCAGAATGAGTCTGTATTTTTTTTGGTGTCTTGTAGGATTAAACGGATATGAAACAAAGGACTACCTACAAAAGGTTCTGAATTAGTAATAGAGACAGCAATGGGAGGGAAGGAAAGGACAAACCAAACCTCCTGGAGTCCCTGAGGTGCAATTCATACCTTTGACTCCAGGTGGCGCTCACCTTAAGTTTGTTGTGAGAAATGCATTTGCACAGCTTTAGCTTTTCTACTGTGATGTGGAAAACTACACCTCAAAACCAACACTCTAGGAAAGAGGTGTGGGGGCGGGGGCGGGGGGATGTCACTTAATACCTTTTAAATTAAACTGCATATTTTCTATCGTTTTGTCTCAAGTTACAAACTACAAATTGATTTGTTAAAAATAGTTTAAGAGACCGGACTCAATAGGGCCGGACACCACATGTTATCTTTGGCACTGAGCTTACTGAAGTTTTCACTGGCTGCAGGGTCTCTGTTTTGCTTTCCTTAAGCCTTCTGATGTCCTGCCTATTTAGTATTACAAACACCTACTATGTGCCAAGTACTTAGAATTTTTTAAACGCAATCCTCCATCCCGTCTCCCAGGGCCTCCAACACCTTACACAGGAGGAACGTGAAGCCCGAGAGGCTAACCCACTTGCCCGGGCCACAGTGGACTGGTGTCCGAGTGGGACAAAAAACGCTTCTAATGGCTCCCTTTTCCAGAGTTCCTTCCATTATGCCATTTTTGCCTTTTTATTCAAGAGCTCATGACAAGTAAGGAAATAAACAAGTCTGTCATGAAAATCAGAAAATACGAATATAAAGGACAATGAATTCTCTGGAGGAACAATTCAAATTTGGTGCAATGGAATGGCTGCATTTCAAAAGGGTGGAGAATCAAAACAGCTATTTCTGACAATTAAAGAAAAAAACCTTTAGATTATTTTAGAGTAACAGGCATAAAAAATGCCAGAAAAAGAAGAATGCATGATTGTATTTTAACACTTTCAAAAGGGCAGAGCCGGGACCAGGGGTCAGGCCGGCCCGCCTCGAACACACAGCTGCTCTTTTTACTGCCCCTGAGCCCTTCCTCGGTGAGAAGTGATTTCTTCGTTCAGTTTTACTGGACACTTTCCTCCGTGTAACTTGGAGGCGAAAGAAGAACAGAGAGAGAGCCCCGTGGGCTGGCCCAGAGGGGAGAAGCTAGCGTGGGGAACTGCCAGGGGCCGTGTTGAGTCATACGGAAATCCTTACGCATGTTGTACAGGACGGAGGCACGTGGTGCCATTAGCTCACAACTACTTACGCTATGTAATCCTGCTCATCTTCTGCCTGAAAGTGATACGTCCTATTATCTAAAATACAAGAGAAAAGAACGTGAAACCTTAGAAAGCAGTATACCTTCAGGTCTGATGTAAATTTTGCAAGTTCCTAAAAACAAACAAACAAAAACCCACAGTAAAAGTAGGGTTTTAAAATTATTTTGTTTTTACGCCACTTTGTTTTAGCAGTTATACAGTTCATGTTGTCAATACTATTTTTCTAAAGTGCCCAGGAATGCAATAAAATAGCTGCCAATACCACGCCCATACCTGGCACTTAGGAAAAAGAAGTGGGAGGGGGATGGTCCTACCTGCTCTAGCGGGTTCCAGCGACAGCTGCAGAGTGCCCGCTGCCAAGGCAGTATTTTACTTTTCATTCTCAACGTGCCTTTTATTGTGTTTCCTTTAAAAAAGACTTTCCTTTTTGGAAATAGTTCCTAACTTGCAGGGCAGCTCTGACAGCAGGGCTCAGTCAAAAAGCTCCCCGCTGGGCTGCTCTCTGCGAGGATCAGCTTCAAGAAAGAAGGCCTGACCTTGCTCGACGGTCACCTTCAGGCTGCTGCCCAGGGAAGGAGGGCGTGGCCTACCTTCGATAGTCTGGGCAGGTGTATATAAGGGAAGCTCTTGCTTAAAATTCAGAATCCGCTAGAACGCTTCAACATAATCAAGTCAAACTAACCTTCACTTAGCTAGCCAGCCACGCACTATGTGGCCGCTCCAGGCTAGGCATTCACACCCCCCGTCTCCTGGAGATGGTGTTTATGCCCAAGAACAAACTATGGGCAGTAGAGCCCAAGAGTCTCAACTGAATCTCTGCTTTAATGCTGTGTGACCTTGTACAAGTAACTGAACCTCTCTGAGCCTGTTTTCTGTCAAACAGGACACCAATGGGGCTTCTGTGAGGATTGGCAATAACATATATAAAGCACCCGGCACACTGGACGTTCAGTAACTGGTCAATCACCTACAGGCTCTGAAATGGAGAGGTCTAAGCTTTTTGAAGTCATCTTATAAATCTAACTTCTCACTAATGACCCAAGAAACCTCTTGGTCATAAAGTGAGAGGGGCTCCGGACTTCAGTAGGTGCTTCAGAATCCAGCTCAGGTGCCTGCCAAGGGCCTCGCACGCACCAGTCCTTGGGGATGGAAATGGGCAACATCAGGATCCACAGGAACTGACCCGGAGAGAAGAGGGACTCACGTGAAATCAGGTCAAAAGACTTCTTGTCCTCGGCGTTCGGCTTCACCTGGCAGGTGAGAAGGTTCAGCCTGGCTGGCTGCCTGTTAGCCTGGAGCAGAGAAACGGAGTCGTTACCTGCTGCACCTCCCCCCCGCCTGCCAGGCCGGTGCCCTGCGGGGCAAGCATGCGGTTTCAGGCAGCAAATTTGATAGAAGTCTTTCCCCCGTTCAGTTTGTTGTTCCACTTATTTCTGCATTCACTGGCTGATTGTTGCATGTACCCCGAGTGAGGAGTGAGCCCGCAGCCTTGGCACACTGGGCCAACGCTCTAACCAACTGATACCTGGCCAGGGCCAAATGTGATAGTCCTATTCGGACACGCAGTATTCTGAACCTCACTAAAAAAGAAAAAATTGTTGGTGGTCTACTAAATGTCTGTTAGCCGTACATAAATACTATATTGGTGATTAATCAGAATGGAACCAGGAAAATCCACCTTTAAATGAGAAGTGGGCACGGCCCATGGAAATGCACCTTTCTGGACCCCATGCACATCCAGGCCAAAGAGTCAGCACTTCCAATACCACATCCTGCTGTGAAATGTAGTGGAGTACATTTCATTCATTCATTCATTCGTTCACGCATTCATTCAGAATGGCCCCAGTCAACAATCACCCCAACCTGGTGTCCCAGATATCCACAAGTTTTGGTTGCAAGGTGAAATGTACAGAACTTCTCTCTAGTACAAGGACAACTACCCCCCTCGAGACACAGCTCAGTGAGCCCCCACATCTGAAGACAGAAAATGTAGCCAGGATTTCACATCACAGATTTATCAGCACACCTCTTGGTCACACGGATAATTTACACAGACCCTGTGGTGTGTGCACAGCCACGTTAATTTAGGCTTTGCCTATGTGGAGCCTTGCCATGTAATCATTCTGGTCAACACTCGTTCTTGACCTCCTGCCTGCAAATGTTCAAAGTCACACGCTGGCCAATGTAGCCTGTCCGCTTCCTGCAGGAGCTGAACACGGACTGAAGCATCCGAGTGCCCGGGCTGGGCGTGACCGGAAGCCCACTGACACTCATGATTCTCAAAATCCCCATGCCAGCAACTTTTCCACCCAAGCACCCCAAGTTTTTAGAAAAAAACAGAGGGCGGGGAGGTAGGGAGACGTCACAGTGACCAAGTGAAGCCCTGAACCACAGAGACGGTGTGTGTTTGAGACGATTTCAGTGACACGCTGCAGTTCTGTCTCAGCGATGAGCAACGGACACTTCACCTCTTGTCCACCTTCTTGTGCTCTCTGGACAGTTTTCGAGATCTTCCTTCTCTGGGGTTTCAATGAGATTCGACACAGAAAATAAGCCCCTTGTCCTGTGCCCCTCGGCTCCAAAGCCAGCTGTCCGGGCGGAAGTGAGAACCAAGGGACTTCAGGTTCCTCACATGTGCGTCTGACATAGACATGGAAACCAGGAGAGCCCTGTCAGGAGTTCATCCAGGCCCAGGCCCGGTCGCCGTAAAAGGAACGGTCGGTCCTGCAGCGCGTCTGTTTGGATTCCCCGGTGGACGACAGGGCACCCTATGCCCTGAAGGCAGCCATCCCAGGGAACGGGCTCTCTGGGAATGCTATGCTCCAGTTTGGCATCCACGTGTCAGGGAGGACGTGGAAAAGCTTAGGGAAGACCGAGAGATGATTAAAGGACTGGCAAACGGGAACTTTGAAGATGGGGAAAGGCACTATTTAGTCCAGAGGAAAGATGGCGAGGGAGCGACTTAATAAGCATCTTCCAGCCCATGGGGCTGTTCTGGGCAGGTTGGCAGCTGTTTTCCATCTGCTCAGACCAAGAAGAAAGGCACTCGAACTGCAGGCGGAGGTTGGAGCCAGACGCAAGGAAGGACTTCCAAGCTTAAGCTGATGAAGCATAATAAGAGGTTCCACGTTTCTGAACCGAAGGAGAAATCTCTTTGAAAATCCTAAGGATTTTCACATTCACCTCTGAATGTGGCAGAGGGTTAACTAGACGGTTTCTTTTTTGTCCCCAATCCAGGTTACTCCAGTGTTTCTGAACAACCTTAGCGACAGATACAACCAATACAGACAGAAAACTTAAAGAAAAGGAAAAAATACTCCAGTTCAGCGTTCACTCATTCAGGGGAATCACTCATCTCTACGCACAGACTCCCTCACAGCACAGCGCCTGAAAGCCTTGAGGATAAGGGCTTGATACGGTTTGAGCCATTTCATGATTGGATTCCCAAGGGATGGACTTTGCGGCCTCCACATGAACTTCAGGGACACAGACACAGCCTGCCTAAGCACAGTGCTGTTCTCCCCCAAGACAGCTGACAAATGACCATCACCCCAACTGTGACTTTGAGGGGCCAAAAAAAAAAATTAAAAAAAAGAATCCCACACAATTTCTGACAATCTGAGCAGCGGGCACAGCCAGTGCCAAGCTGGGAATATAAGAAAATGGAGTGCATGCTCGACCTGTGTCCCTGGACCAAGGCACCAGGAGGCTCAGGGGTTGTTACTCCCGTAATAACAGTCATTCCAGATCTGTATAACTTTCCAGAATTTCAAAGCACTTTCTCGGGGTCCAGCACTAATTTGTAGGCATATTGATTAAAGCCCGCATAACGTCTCCTGCTGGCTTAGCAGGCGGAGAACAGAGTGAGGCTAAAATGACTCTCCCTGGGATTCATCAGAAACAGTTCAGATGAAACAGGAAAGAAAAATAGAACAAGGAGAAGAACGAGGAAACATTTGCCAAGCCCTTCCTAAAAACCTCTGCATGTGACCGCCAGGCACCTGAAACTTCAGCTGCGGCCACTTACTCCGCTGCTCCCCCTGCTGGGCAGGAGGGGCGCTGGCCTCCCTCCCTCCAGGTGGCTCAGACTGACTGTCCTGAGTGCTCCCTGGCCTGACCAGCCTCCCCTCCTGTCCTGCTGCACGACCTTCCTGGCTCTTATTACCCCGTATTTGCTTCCTGTCATTCTTCCCACTAAAAGCACACATTTCTCTGTTTTGTTCACTAAACCGTGCCCGGCATACAGCAGGCACTCAATAAGTATTTCTCGAAGGAATGCATTCCAGGGGCCTTACATATCCGACCTGTGAGAGAAGTCTTTTCCGTTTCTTTCACTATTTCCCATGAAGAGAGGGGGCGGAGAGGTTAACTAACGTTCCCACAACCTCCCGGGAAGGAGACGGCAGAGCCTGAGCCTGAACCAGGTCCGAGGGGCCCAAAGCCCTATCCCTCCTCCGGCTTCAGGCAGGCCCGGGAAGCCAGCCACAGGCTGTCCCTGGAACGTGGGAACGTCTCCTTCTGAGAGGAGTGAGGGTTAGAAACAGAGCAAGGGCTAGAAATATATCATATTTTAATATATTCGCGGGTCATCTGATTTCCCCTCAGTTATTTACTTCCATAACTGATGAAAAGAGAAATTTTAGAAGGCTATTTGAAAACCCCACCCACTCATTCATTTGATAAGATAGCTATTAAGCCTCTGCCCATTCTAAGCACGCCTGGAAAGCACGTGGTCCACGCCAGCAAGCAGCTACGGGAAACAGCTGACCACGGACCCAGGACGTGCTGGGCCTGAGCTCCAGTGCATTTTAATAAGTGGTATTTTCTTTCCTCCTCAAACAGCGGGAAATCGGAACGCGGCTGTGAATACTGAAAACCTGCTGATGGACTACAGGCTCGCGCTCACTTCTACGTCCTGTGGGCAATGAACTGGCGGGCACCGCCTGGCACGGGATGCTGGCGCGCACACACGAGCCTTCTCTCCGCCTGCAGGGGCCATTGTCACGACCTCGGTGCTCTGCCATTTCCATTCCCGCTTGACACATCTTCCATTATGATTTTTAAAAATTAAAAAATAATTTCTTGCTAATTTTAAAGAGCACAATTGTGATTCCTGGTCTCACTGTGGATGGCTTTGACTACCACCAAGAGGGAACCTTTTTTTTTTTTTTTTAACAACAAGAAGATTTATTTCCTTTCTATTTCTTTTTGTTTTATATTTTATTGAGTTTTTACAGAGAGGAAAGGAGAGAGATAGAGAGTCAGAAACATCGATGAGAGAGAAACATCGACCAGCTGCCTCCTGCACACTCCCCACTGGGGATGTGCCCGCAACCAAGGTACATGCCCTTGACCGGAATCGAACCTGGGACCTTTCAGTCCGCAGGCCAACGCTCTATCCACTGAGCCAAACCGGTTTCGGCAAGAGGGAACCTTTTTGACAAGCGTATGGATTTTGTCGAGACAGGACTTTTAGCTTGAAATGGGGGATGCAAAACAAAAACAAAAATTCTAGACAGATTCTAGACATCAACTGTAAGGATGCAATGTGTATGTATATACGCTGACAATCTGAAGATAAATAGAATATAAGTGATAATAGCTTAGCTATTTTCCACTTTCTATTAAATTGCCTTTGTTACTAAAAAATGGGGAGTCATGATTGAGGCAATTTTATTATTCACGGTTATATTTATAGACCCTTTAACATAATGGTGGGCTTTCTGAGTAATTTAAGTAAACAGTAACAATAAAAAAGACTGGACATATTTTATATGCGTTGTTTCACTTCCTATATTACCTTTTCATGCAAAGAACATCCCCTGCCATCTTTATAATTCAGAAAAGTAGGTTTTTGCAACAACCAGTATTATTTCCCACAACATTAGATTATCAACTAAGAGAAGACCTGATTTGGTTTGGGAGAACAGACAAAAAGTTCTGGCGGAGCCCTGGCTGGTTTGGCTCAGCGGTTTGAGCATCAGCCCGAGGATCAAAGGGTCTCGGGTTTGATTCCCGGTCAAGGGCATGTACCTTGGTTTCAGGTTCATCCTGGGTCCCTGTTGGGGGACATGTGGGGGGCAACCAATCCACGTGTCTCTCTCACATCGATGTTTCCCTCTCTCTGTGTCTCCCCCTCCCTTCCACTCTCTCTAAAAATTAATGGGAAAAATATCCTTAGGTGAGGATTAACAAACAAATAAAGACCTGGTGGAGTGACAGAACAGCAGGGCCGACACCGCAGGACAAGACAATATCCCACACTATCTGACCCGCCTCCACACATGAACATGCCTGGGGAACATTCTGGCGCCGTGACAGCACGTGTTTGCCAGTTTCTAGTCCATGCGGCCCAAAGGCAGAGCCGGCGAGCGTGCGATCGCAGACACACTTACTGTGGCGTGGGAGATGGTCAGCATGCCGTTCTTGACCGCGCACTTCCTCCTCTGCCACACTTTGCGGATCCTGCAGAGCCAGGCAGACAAGTTGGGTTAGGGTCCGTTCACTCGGGGACATGTGGTCACACAGCGTCATACGTAACCATCATTACAGCACAGAACCACCCGAGCCACAGCAGCCACAACGCTTCGGCTGCCCCTCACTCTCCCGGGGGAGGGGACTCGGGAGGAGGCCTGCCCAGGAGGCTTACGACCGCACTGGTCCTAGTCTGAGAGCGGGAGGAACGAAAGCACCACGGGCACTTTCATACAGAGCGTTCTGTACTAGTTTAGAAGAAGGAAGTGTGTATGGACTCACATGTATGTGACTTGTGTAGGTTTCTAAGGCATATCGCTGATTGAAAAATGCAAGCTGTTTTAAGATAATTCAGGTATGATCCTGTATTGTTTAAAAATAAAAACCTTGCCCAGGAGATCACGGTTTTGCTTCCCAGTCAGGGCACACGCCCAGGTTGCGGACTCGATCCCGTGTGGGGCGTGCAGGAAGCAGCTGAGCAATGATTCTCCCTCAGCATTGATGTTTCTATCGCCCTCTCCCTCAAAAACACTTGAGACTCTCTGGGTAAGGAAATCTGTGTATGAACACACAGAAGAGAGCCTGGAGGGCCTCCCAGAGCTGACAGGAGACTCCGCCCCTCCCCTAGAGCGGGACAGCAGAGACGGCAAGACATGTATTGTTTCTCGTTAGAAATGGAAGGGGCTGCTGCTAAGTGGCTGTGATGGAAGAGGGAAGATAGGAGTCAAGGCTGACGCCCAAGGTTGGGGTCTGGGCGGTTAGGTGGGCACCCCAGGCAGAGAAACCGCAAGGAATAAAAGCTGGGGGTGGGGTGGGGTGGGCGGGGGATCAAGAAGTCAGACCACGTGCTTGCTGTACGTCCTCCTCGGTTCCTGCCTTCTTAACACTGCAACACTGTGGTCACAAGTCTCAGGTGCCACACAGAGACATGGAACAGTCACTGCTTCCTCAAGCAGCAGGCTCATCTGGGACTCATGTAAGTGTCTTTCCCCCGTGGGAGGCGGGCAAAGCCCGTGGGTAATCTGACCTGACGCTCGGGAAGGGAGCTGAGCACCCAGGGCACGAGGAGGGGGTGTACGTACCCGTCACTCTTCTTCAGAAGGTACCCCTTCTTCTCGCTGCCATACTCCTTGTTGCCCTGGAGCTGGTGCATGCTGTATCCCCCCTGGCGGCTCTGGGAGTCCTAGGAGAGACGAGTCACAGGTGAGTCACACGCTGGAGACGCCTCTCAGGTCCCTGCCTCTGCTCTGCTGCTGAGCCTCAGCCCGTGGGTGGTCAGGTCCTTGCCTTTATTTTACAGGAGGAAGCCGGGCAGTCCCAAGCAAGCTCAAGGCGGAGCTGGGGACTGGGGTCCGGGCCTCCTAGCGCCAGTTCAGATCCCAGCTCGGCTTCAAACATGCGGGGGACTATTCTATGGCTGCCCCAGTTCACACCGGCAGCCAGGCAGGCACGCGGAGGACCGCAAATCCAAGTCCATGCAACCGGAAGGTGAGTGCTCTTCCCTGGGGTACCTTTCGTCCCTGCGCACGCTCTGCGGGGTGTGGAACACCCACGATAAGAAGTGCACCTTCTGAGTAAGGTAGTAAGAACTGTTATAAAGTTCTTGCTCTGTAACTAACTAGTGCTCTGCAAAATACACTCACAACCACGCTTTTAATGAAAAAAAGAAAAAGAAAAAGATTGTATTGCAGTGATAAGTGTATTACGTAATTAAAAGGGTGACAAGGGTCGAGAACAACATGGATGCCAATGAGCTTGACTTAATGTTGGGGGGCCATTGAGCCTCCTGGGGTTTTTGTAAAGACGGCACCACTAGACTGCTGTTACTGGGGAAATGCAGGGAGTAATCTAACGTGGAACTAACTGTACAATGAGAAACGGGTTGCAAACACAGAAATAGGACAACACATTCTCACAAACAGTGGTGACTTACTCTCCTAGACTTCGATCAGGAAGGGCAAGAGCAACAGAGAAAAAAGGCAGAACATTTGAAAATATAGTTAATTTCATTGACAGTCTTATCACTCATAATTTAAGCACTTTTTATAACATACAGAGAAAATATTATAAAGGTGACGCTAGAACAAACTCATATGCACGCATCTTTGGAACCATGATAAACTCTGGCACAATAAAGTATCTACATTAATTAAATTTTGAGTGAGAACAGAAAAAAGGCAAAATAGAGAAACAGGAGGTACACATTCCCAAGATGACACGGTTGACAAACCTCAGAGTGTGTGCACAGAGAATCAGTACCCCAGTGAGACCCAGTGGGAATTACGTAGGAAATCTAAAAGGAGCCACAGCTCGGTTGGTTGGAGCGCTGTCTGGAGCACCAAAGGGTCCCTCCCGGCTTGATTCCCAGTCAGGGCACATACCCAGGTTTCAGTCTCCGGTCGGGGTGCGTATGGAAGGCAACCGAATGATGTTTCTCTCCCACATCGATGTTTCTCCCCCTCTCTCTAGGATCAATCAGAAACATATCCTTGGGTGAGGATTTTTAAAAAAAAGCCACAACAAATTTCAGGATTCTTTTTGTTTTGCTTTTCCGAGGGAAGAGAACTTAATATATCCAGTCCCTAAGCAACCCTGGACAAGGGATGGAGAGGAGGGGGAAGCTCTGAGCCTGGGTGCGTACTGATGGCCGGTGCACAGCATGCCTGAGGGCAGGAGCCGCTTTCTGGCCTCAGTGAGGACAGCGCTCCTTTAAGGCTGTTCTACATGTGACGAGTTCTGTGCTCAGAGGCGCGTCCCGAACCCCTACAGCCGGGCACCGTGCAGGCCCTGAGGACACTGCCCGTCTCTGAGGCGGGGACTCACTCTCCACTCACTGTGCTCTCCCGAGCCAGGCCACGAGGCTGCCTGCGCCTTTCCAGGCAGCTGAGTCTACTAAACAGGTTGCAAACCCCAGTCATTCTCTTAACCCGAGTCACTTCTTTGTCTTTAATCGGCCAGATCCCCTGCAGCTGAGCCTCTCCAGGGCCCAGAGCCTGGGACTTGGCTGGCGCTGGCCTCCCTGACAGGCGTGCCCGGCCTCTGGCTGGAGAGCTGACCAAGGGACAGCAGAGAGCAGCCTGCCTCTACAGCGCCCCTAGTGACAGTCCCGGGAACCACAGTAGGGACACAATTAGGACGGAGAATGGACGGGGCTGGAAAAGGTGGGGGCGTGGGAAAAAACACGAGGCCAGATACTGCAATCCACAGAACTGGCTGCCTGAACCTGACGAAACCATCAAAATCGCTCCGCTGTGGGTTTGGACTCGGGGATTTTCGCCATCTCTCTGCCTCCAGAACATGAAGCACAAAATCGAAACTCTCCTTGGATCCCAATTCTTATGAAAAGTTGGCACCCTTTCACCAAACTGCACTTCTCCGTGTCTGCCCACATTAATTCCTGCTCTGTCGGGATTTAAAATTATGATTTTTTCATTTGCACTTAAAAATTATGCCTCTCCAAGATCAGTCCATTTGCTAACCTTTAAAATAAGTCCTATGCTTAAAAAATGAAAGCGCTTACATATTTAACAAGAATTTAGGTGCTGATAACTTAGGAAAACTACTACATCCTGTAAATGTGCCATTAAGACTTCCCTTACTTATAATTATTACAAGCCTAAATACACTCTAGATTCTGGACAACAAACATATCGCATGGGCCTTGCTTCACATTAGACAAAGATGCTTTTAAAGGTAAAGGAAGTGGCTGGACGCTAGGCTTTGACCTCAGAACATTACTCCATTAACCCGAACAGGGAAGAAGCACTATGTTTCAGAAGTCTAGCATGAAGCCATCCCAAATTAACGGCTAATGAGTTTTATGGCTTAAGAAAGTCATACAAACGATGCTTTCTGCACTTTGAGAAATAATGGTCATTCAGCTTGCATAGCAGGGCACACCGGGTACATGAAAAGAGGGTTTTCTTTTCTGAGAAAGAAAACCTTGGAGAACTGTTAACACGAAATGAAAACAAAAGAAAACAAAATCGAGGGAATGAAGTAGGTGCTGAATCCTTTGCCAGCATCATAAAAATCAACATGTATTCAGGAGAGAAAATGCAAATGAAAAAAAAATCATTCAGGCAAAATGAAACAAAACTAAAAACAATGAATTTAAAATAAAACCTTGGGGAAATTGCATGAGGTGAGCCAAGAAATGTAAGCTGTAGAATAAAACACGGCATCCTTTTTTAGTTCAATTTCCCATTCTCTGTTAGCAGCACAGATTACCTGACTTTATTAGAAAGCCTTTGAATGCATTATTAAGGAGAAAAATCTCCAGTCTTTTTAAACTGCAAGCAATTACACACTCATTGGTTTAATGGGGTCCTCAGAGTTTCTGGCACCCGATCTGAGGACAGACCTCTGTTAGGGGAGCTTCATCTCTACTGTATGAATGGGACGGGCACAGGCATCCTTCTGTCTCCGTGTTCTAAATATTTACCGAGCAGCTTTGGTGCCCGGCCGTGTGCCAGGCGCTGAGAGGACAGATGAGTCAAGCCCAGATCTGTCAGTCACCTGCAAACCCCAGGATGGTGTGCTATCGAGAGGGGCTCACACAAAGCTGGGGGTTTGGGGATGATTTATGGACATCATCTTCAAAAATAAAACATTTTCATCTCAAAAAATACTCATGTAGCAAACAGTTCTTCGGGGAGGTTGCGCTACTATAAAGGCTTAAGATGCCTAATTCCATAGGACATCTGCCACCAGTCATTAGAGAATTTTATTTTCACGAGAAAAAAAAATATGAGTCTACCCCAAATCTGGGAGTCCTAGTTACAACACAAGTTCATGAGGCTTCCTTTAATTGAGGGGAGTTCGGGCCTGGTGGTGGGGTGAGGCTGTTCAGTGATTTCTTGGGCCTTACTTTCTCGGGCCAGTCTTTAGATGACTTTACACCTTCTGGAACCAGAGAACTAGGGTGAGAAATCTCTGGCCGAAAATCTCCTTTCATGTTTAACGGAAATCATTAAAAATCACTACCTTCTTAACATAGCTTGCAACGAGAGATGATAAACAGCATGAGGATGGACTAGGCATGCTGTGAGAGATCAATTTTACTTGTAAAATACTCTGGACACGGTGCTAATGAAAACTCATCATTGAGCGATTTGGCACGAAGTTAAAATCAATCAAGCCGCGTGTGTGCATTTCCGCATGTTACACACTCCTTCGGCTTGTACTGGTATGCAACTTTTCCTTTAGTTATTAGCATGAGCAAAATACAGAGGTCTCTATGCACAACCGAGAGCCTACAATAGCTTCTTTTCTTTTTCAAGAAAGCTTCCATATGTGGGAAGTAATCCCTGTGGCAAAACAGGTAGGAAGTAGTTAAGTACGTACGAGTCAGTACAAAACCTTGCAAATTTCTCTAGACAGAGATCTACCTCTTCCCCCCACAATCTGGATCTTTCTATTGCTCTTATGCTGAGTGATCGCACCCTCAAGGCGGCCTGCGAGCCCGGTGCAGGTGCTGGCCGAGGAGGCTCTGCATGATGTGAGCGCACAGCACACACGTCACCCGGCACTGACACCTGTCCACAGGTAAGCAGGGGGCAGTGTTAAAGGGCTATGGCCTCCTCTCACTTCACAACACCCAGCTAATGTAAAAACTGGAGGCAGAAGCAGCGAGGGCTCCAGTGGCCCAGTGAAGCACCTTCAGGACTGGTGCGCGGGACCAGGGGTGCTGGGCAGGCTTCCCACGCTCGAGGGGTCTCACTCTGTTTTGTTTGGACTCATGAACACCTTTCAGAAATTTCAGGAGATGACAAATAGTTGGCCATTGTGAGATAATATCATGAGGAATTAAAAATATTAAAAATGCTATATTGTATAATTATTAAAGATTGCATTGAAGAGATCACACTTAAATTCAATGCATAATAATTTCACGATCCAAATAGGCACGTTTCTACCTTCTCCATGTGGCAACTGGGGCTATTTCACTTACTCTCAGCTCAAAGCCCGTCCCCTCCAGTGTGCATCCCGGGTTTTCTGCCCAGAAACCGCATCTCACGCCTCCACCCACCTTATCCCAAACGTCGCCCGCTGACGCTGCCCGGCAGTTTTGCATCTCTGCAGCTTCCTCTCGCTGGCATCTCTCCTACAGTATCCACGCCACTTTAGGTACAACTCCTATTCACACGGCTGACACTCTCCACTTTCTCCCAGATGATGACCCCCTTAACGGACAGGACTAACGCTTACTGCCTAGCACAGCTGCTGGCACATTGTAGGTACTAATTAAATGTTTGCACAACAAATGAACAAATACGATTTATGATTAAGGATCTGAGCAGTCATCTAACAGCTACCATGCTCCGTATACTCCACACCTCAGTATCCAAAGACTTGCACCTCCTTTTTCCTAAGTGGGGGGCACAGCTTCTATAGGGCTGTGCCTCAGACTGTTTCTCTATTCTCCCGCCCACCTGCGGCTGCCCAGAAAGAGAGACGAGCTAAGGAGCACAGGGGTGTGCGCTGCCCTGCCTCTCCCTCCGCAGTCGGAGAAGACACACGCCTGAAACACACATCTGCAAAGCCAGGACAGAAAGCCGAGCCACGGAGCGGTAGGCCGGGGCTCAGGACACCCTATCCGTAGGAGGGAAGGGAAATGAAACACGGCTTCTAGCCTGGGCAGTGCAGTAGGTGCACATGTGTCTGGTGTCTCCCCTGTCCCACTCCACCCTGGCAGGAAGCAGCCAGCACCCCAGTTGCAGGTTGGGAGGCACCCACACCCCACCAGGAGCCCCGCCTGTCCGCTGAGCACCTACTTCTTTCTGATCGAGCTGAAGAGAGGATTTTATTAAGTCCCGGAGGGCAGTGAGCTGTTTCTTTTCTTCATCCTGGGTCTGTTTTATCTACAAGAGAAAATAATTACTTGTCACTTATCTTTTATATGTTTATGAACAGCGTTTCATTCACCCCGATATACCACACATCGAACTACTCAATGATATAGCCGATTTCCTTACTCAAATCCTTCACATGGTCTCATTTTTTATATAAGAGGCACAATTTTCTCATCTTATGAAGGTTCCAGTGGGTTTTGAAATGAGTGAATAATGCAACATGCTTTCTTATTAAATAATACCTCTAGGCTAGATAATTAAAGTTCCACTTGAAACAAAGTTAAGAAATAACATGGAGTTATTTGCTTCTGGTTTTTCCAAAGGCGGCAGTGATACCACGCTGACCTTGAAGGCCCAGAAGAGAACTGGGGACTGAGGACCAAGCCCATGGGCCCATGCACATGTGAGGGCACAGAGCCCTACCCGAGGGCAAAGGCTGGCTGCTTTGTGAACACGGGAACCTGATCACAACCAGAATCACGTTCGCTAAAAGAAAAGCAGGAAAAGTACACAGCTGTATACTTTTTAAAGTTATACAAAGACACACGGTATTGTCTGTAACGCTAAAAACCTCATTGGAACATACGTAGTTGCACTCATAAAACATACACTTTCAATACGATTAATTGCCAAGCGGTTTATGGGAATAAAGGTTGACATTTATACATATGCATTTAGTATTTTTCCTCAAAGAAGTTTTCCTTTTGCTTTTATAAAAGCAAAATCTAAATATGAGAATAAGAGGAAATATAAAGCAAGCAAGCCCCCCAAATTCATAAACTTAGGCAATCCATTTTATCCTTTCACGACCAAAACATTCCTTTTGCTATTCTGACGGAAGGGCACCGTGATGTTACTGAACCCTGAACAGAGAGTTATCTAGAAGCAACCGTTAGACTCTCCTCCCCGCTCCTCCCATGCTCCCCAAACACACTCTGGAACATTCCATCACTGACGTCTGAGTCAAACTGAAGGTTTACCTGTCTTTACTGGACGCATCACTTAACTGGTCTTCTTGTCTTTAATACTCTTCTAATACAGATTTCACATTTCCTGATAAACTTATCTACAAAGCAAGTTAAACGCATGTATTCTATAAAGAACTTACATTATATAAGTCAGCAGCCAGTTTTTCAATGTACTGTTTCAATTTGTCAGCTGTTTTCAAGCCATCTTGAAAGAAACTACAATGGAAAACATCAGAGACTTACCCGCAGTACAAAAAAGAAATGAACCATAATTACCTAAAAAATCCAAAAATACAATTTACCCTCTTACCATGTATCTACACAAAACACGTATAAAACGGATTTCAGTGTTTTGTAAAAGATGTGCCAACAAACACGCCTGGGTGCTACTGACACATGCCGCAGACATCACACAGACAATGCACTGCAGTCGCTGTCCACACAGTGGCCTCACGCTGTCACCACACACGGAACAGCTCCCCTGGTTGTGCCTTATTTGAGCTCAAAAGAGAGAAAAGGACACACTAACTAGTGGGGTGTCATGGACCCTAACTGGACACTCTAAGGAGAGATGGATGGGACTAGAAATAGAGGCCGGTGGAAAGTCAGTTCCCACATGTCCCGAGTCCCCACATGCACGTGAGGCACAGGATGTGGGGTCAGGGCACAGATGACCTGGAAGGTTTTATCCTACCACAGACATAAGAGGTGCCTTACTGCACCCTGAGGGGTGGCAAGCCTGGCATGGCTGAGCACTGACCACATGCCCAGCACGCTTGGCATTTCACATAAACTGTGTTTTGTTTTTTTTGAAAAAAGAATATATTTCTTTATTGATATCAGAGAGGGAGGGAGAGGGAGAGAGAGATAGAAACATCAATGATGAGAATCATTGATCGGCTGCTTCCTGCACGCCCCACATTGGGGATTGAGCCCACAACCCAGGCACGTGCCCTTGGCCAGAATCGAACATGGGAAACAGGTACATTTCACGTAAAAATTACCAGAAAGCCCACAAAAGTGAACCCGGAAAGGAAACAAGGAGTGAAAAAGCAAATGTGGTGTCGCAGAGCCTCGAACGTCATAAACAGGGGGCCTGGCCAGGTGAACAAACAAAAATGGGGACCGTGGGCGCCTCTCACAATATTCCAGCAACCTAGGCACAAGTGCAGTGTTCCTACCGTGCGAATGATGGCGTTCACCTAATGTAGATGGTGAAAAATATCACAAAACCCAAGCAGGAAAATGCGGTACAAATGATGCTGTAACCGGTGAGATGCCGAGGAAGGAGTGGGGGAAGCGGGGCTCTGGGAAGGCCTCTCCAGTGACAGGGACAGTGTCTGTAAGAGGGGCCGCAAGGCTGTCACAGTAACGCCAGCCTTTCTGAGATGCAGCATTTCCAGGAGCCAAGCAGCTGCACTAATATGAGTGGCTGATTGATAGAAAACACTGACTATGGACAAGACCACTCACTGCATATGATCTGGCTGTGGGAAGCCTTCATATCACTATGCAGTGACCGAATGAAGACCAGAGGAAAGCAGCAAGAAAACCGGAGTCACCACGGCCACCTGCCACTTACTTGCACTGCGCGTGGTAATACTTGATGAGATTCTGCAGCAGGTCCACGCCTTTTTTGGTCTTGATCTCGTTGACTTTAATGAGATACTGTGGGAATAAAACAGAAGTGGATGCTGTCATTGCCGACAGGGCTCTCTGGGCGGGGTTTCGGGGGGCAGCCCCCCATGTGAATCTGCACCAGGTACTGGCCTCGGCTATCTTCAGGGTGTGTGATCGGCACAGGCACTAGTAGACATTGGTTAGCATGTCAGCATGTTATAAACACCTGTGATTAGTTTACTAGACAAGCAGAAATCAACACAGCAAAGCATCCTGGGATAGCTGACTTATTTCCTCTGGTGCAGTGGCTCTCAAACCTAGGGTTCACGGGGTCAAGACCTGCAAGATGGACGATTCTTTGCTGAAAACAAGGGAATCAGCGTACTATCGAAGGGATATGCCATGAGGCATTAAAACTTTGAGACCAAGGAGGCGAGTTAGGATTTTTGCTAATAAAAATGAAAGGATGAAAACAATGCATTAGTAACTTCTGCACCAAACATCACCAGCTCTGATTTTCACAACTGGCCGAGGATTTCTGCCAACATTGTTTGCCTCTTGTTCACGTGTCTCATTGTGTGGGAGTGTTCATGAGCAGACAAGTTCAAGAAGGAGCCAAAGGTTTATTGGGGTGGGGGGAAAATTAAGGAAGGAAACCTTAAAAGTGAGAAAATGCTATCCATTTTCATAGTTTCCCAAAGCACAAAAGGAATCCCATGAGTCAGTGACAATGTCGGAAGGGGCCGGTCTCTCGGTCAAGGATGCCGGTGTCCAGTGGGAACACAGTTTGAGAACCACTGCTCTAAGTTGAGGCAGCATGCTTTTCATTGCATTTTTTTCATGAACTCAGGCTTTCTCAATGACCCCTGCATTTAAGTTCTCATTCAAACTAGACACAGGATTAAAAACAAACAAACATGCTCTACACCTGTACCAGTAAAACCTAAGATTCACCCGTGTTACCAAAATTTGCCTTTCCACACTCATTCACAGGCAACAGTCAAGTTCTCACCAAAGAATCCTGCTTTGGCTTAGAGCCCCACAAGCCCCAGGATCAAAACAGGAGGCAACAGTGACAGGGCCGATCCCAAAGGCTTGGAGAAAAATGAGATTAGAGTCCTTAAGTAACTGTCCCTCCTCTCCTGATCAGACACAGCCGCTCTCAGGCATGAAGGCTGCTGTCCGTAGGAGGGCCCCGCTAACGAAACTCTGGGCGAGGGGCTGAAGTCCCTCCGCACCTCGCACATCTGCAGCTGGAAGAGGCGCCGCTCCTTCTCCATCTCCTCCGCGATCTCGGCCCCCGTGATCTCCGTGCGGATCATCCCGTGCTGCTTCGCATGCTCTCTCTTCTCCTTCTCAATTTTTGTGCTGGAATGGAAGCAGATGCCACCATTAACACACACGCACATGCACACACACGCACGCACATCTTCCTTTCGATGAGAACCACGGGATCACAAGAGTTAACATGCAGGAACATCTAAGAACTCTTTATGTTCTAGGACCGTGTTGGCAAATTGCAGCTTGCGAGCCACATGCAGCTCTTTGGCCCCCTGAGTGTGGCTCTTCCACAAAATACCACGTGCGGGCGTGCACATACAGTGCAATTGAAACTTCGTGGCCCGTGCGCAGAAGTCGGTATTTTGTGGAAGAGCCACACTCAAGGGCCAAAGAGCCGCATGTGGCTGGCGAGCTGCCATTTGCTGAGCCGCAGTTTGCCGACCACTGTTCTAGGATATGCACAGTACTGACCACCAGACACTTCAAGGCCTTCTATTTCTATGTAACTACTGCTGTACTGTCCAGATCTGCAGTACTTCAATGGACAAAGCACATCTTGTTTTGTTGTTCCTGCGTCCCACAGAGGAGCTATATCCCATAACAGGTCTAGAGCAAGTGTTTCCCTCTCGTTTTGTGAACTCACACCCCCTTTGTCAGGACTCAGTTCTGTCTGGGCCAAGTGCAAGCCGCCTGGGGGCAGGGCAGCGCTCGGTCCACGTGTGAGCGTTCACGCCCCGCCCTCAGAGAAGGACGAGGCGGCCCACAGCCTTCATCCACGGCAGCGGCCACGGCCAGAGCCTTTCTTCCCAGCTGCATCTCTACCTGTCAGTGCACCATAGTCCTCCTAAGACAGCAAGGCTCCGACGGCACAGTTGTTACTATTACGTCAGCAATCATGAGAGTAGTTTCGGAGAAAAATATTTAATCCTCAATGTTTCTTTTGCTTGTCATGTTGCTGTTACTGCCGCCTTCGGAAATGCTTTTATTCTGTTATGTTTATAGTTGTCGGGTTGTCAGCCAAGGTTTTTATTAAGTGCTGTAAAATATATTCCTCCTCCCATCCCCCGCACAGCCCGGTGTCAGGCGACTTGGGATCATAATAATTAAGGCACGTGCAACGCTCCGCGTGGAGGTGCGCCGGCCCCACGTCCAGGGCTCCGCACGTGGCCTCCCCGACCCCTTACAGGAACCCGCCAGGCAGGCCAACCTTTAGCCCTTACAAGCATGCATGACACAAGTTTTTGTCCTTGTAAGTTAAGGGGTCTGTCCTTTTCCCAGTCAATCTTTTTCTTAGGAAAATCATGACAATATAAAACAAAGAAAAAAAAACAACCACTTACAACTTTGTCTCATAATCTTTCCAAGCTTTGTCGAATGGCTTCTTGAGATCCTTAGAAAAAAAACGAAACAGAAATTAAATGTACTGTTGTTTAAAGGCGAGTAAATAATTCTGAAATAACGTCCTAGTAAAACTGCTCTCCTCTGTGGGACGCTGGAAACTTTATACAAAAGCCACCTGCACACACATCACACTGTTATTCCAGCGAGAGGCTTGAGATTGGCAGGGCGCGCATCCTGGCCACACGTCAGTGATGTGGGACCCAGGGGGCCCGCGGGGTCCAGCAGTGATGGAGCCCAGCCCTGCCCCACTCACCAGGGCCCTCGCGCTTCCTCCAAGTGTCTGGTCTTGTTCCTCGGTCAACAACATCATGGGAAGTGGCACACTCTTCCATGATCCTTTTCCAACAACATTTTTTATGCTAAAAATGTTCCAGTGCCTTTCAGATACAAGTACCCCAATGATCTTAAAAGAGAAAAAACCCCCAATCCTTTCAAGTTACAGTGAAAATCAGATTCCGGACACTCACTCCTTTGACTCCCTTCAGGTCTCCTTTCAGCAGGGAGTCCAAGGTGAAGATCACATTGTGGCTCAGCCCCTGGAGCTGAAGACAAAGCAAAGGTAGAGCCGTTAGAGGGAGGGTGCACAGGGCAGGATGCCACTACTGCTGGCACTCCCCACGCACTAGGGCCAGGGAGCACCTGAGGCACCTGCCAGAGGGAGGACACCTCCAGATCAGGCGGCCTCGCTGGCCCTTCTACATCTCCTGAGCGGAGAGCTGCTGCCTGGATCCAGGCCGAGTGGCTGAAGGGCCTGTGCTCTGAACGGGGTGCTGCAGGGTACCCACACTTGTACAAACGATGCCTCGGATCACAGCTACAACTTTCCTGGTCCCTCCTACTGAAATGGCAGATCTTACGTTTTAAAAAATGTACATTTTTATTAATTTCAGAGAGGAAAGGAGAGGGAGAGAGAAATAGCAATAGCAATGATGGAGAGAATCACTGGTTGGAGCCCACAATCTGGGCATGTGCTCTGACCGGAATCAAACCGTGACCTCCTGGTTCATAGGTTGATGCTTAACCACTGAGCCATGCCGGCCAGGCAGGCAGATCTTCCTTTGACTTTTCTTCAAATGCTTCGGTCAGCGCAAGGAGAAGATTATACAACTGGCGTTCACCACTGCTGCCTTCAGAGACCTCGCACCCCAGGGATGGGCAAGCGCAGTCAGAATGCAGTTGGCAAGCCCCCTTCCGCCTTAACCCTGCGTGCTGCAGCAGCGGAGGAGGGAGAGGTGGTGTGAGAAGGCCAGCACGTCACTCGCGGGCTTTGTGAATGCCCCACCTGACATCACCTCTACAGTGAGAGATTCTACCAGCGGTTCTCAACCTGTGGGTTGCGACCCCTGAAAATACATCCTGCATATCAGATATTGACATGACGATTCATAACAGTAGCAAAATTACGGTTATGAAGTAGCAACGAAAATAATTTTATGGTTGGGGGGTCACCACAACATGAGGAACTGTATGAAAGGGTCGCGGCAGTAGGAAGGCTGAGAACCACTGTAAGCTGTCCTGCTGGCTGCTGTGAGGACGGAATGAGCAGTGCACGTGGCAAGTGCTGGCTTACTCCCCACCACTAGGGAGCGCTGCGCACACGCTTGTCTGTAAAGGCTCTGCATAGAGAGAACGAGGGATGCCGCGCTTGAGTTATTTCTGAAAGGACACGGCAAACCCCTAGGCCTGGTCCTTCCAGACACTGGGTGGGCAAGGGGAGAGGGGCTTTTCACTCTGTACTTTTCTGCACTTTTTAAAGGTTTGGTAATATGCACTATATTGTTTATTCACAAAAAGTAAAACTTCTAAAACAAAAAAGGAAAAGATAGCAATTATAAACCATTCCTTCTAAAAAAATATTTTCATTGATTTCAGAGAGGAAGGGAGAGGGAGAGAGAGAGACAGAAACATCAATGATGAGAGAATCATGGATCGGCTGCTTCCTACACACCCCACACTGGGGATGGAGTCCTCGACCTGGGTATGTGCTCTGACCAGGAATCGAACCGCGACCTCCTGGCCCATAGGTCGACACTCAACCACTGAGCCACGCCGGCCGGGCTATGAACCATTTCTAATGCCAGCTCGCCAATGCCTCAAATCCTCTGTGAGATGAAGCAGGAAAAACACCACCCCAGAATGCCATCGCCGCCCTGGTCTGAGAGCTGTGTGAGAAAGTAACGGCAGAAGAATTATGAAACCCGTGGTGAGTACTGAACGTGGGGTCTGAAGGAAGAGTCCCTCACCAGCCAGGGACTGACCACACAGCGAACACATGACACACGTCTCCACCTCGCAGTGGCGTCCTGGCGGCCGGCTCGGGCAGGGCGGTGGCTGCCGGCGCCCTGGTGGGAAGCCTCAGGGGCTGAGAGCTTCCTGTGGTTATCCGCACACACTCAAGCGGGGCTGATAAGAAAAACCCAGCAGGCAAACCAGTGTGCAGTATAGGTCCAGTGTCCCCAGTGACAAGGACACAGCTCGGAACTCACAGACTCTTCCCAACCTATTCCCAGGAAAAGCAGGTTCATTGATAAAAACTGGCGAAGGAGGCTGCGTTCGTGGAAAGGGAATCGGACCTACCTGTCATTATAAAGACACAGCGAGACGGCAGAGAAAGCAGGCCCATCTCTCGAGGAGGAGGTGGTTAGGAATTACTCACTGGGAGGCCAACCCAAGTCTCCCCTGGCGAGTCCGTGCAGAGGGACTTGCTTTCCCCCTATCGTAAGGCATGGCTCTGGGACCGAGAGGAAGCCCGTGACTTTGCTGATGGGGGATTCTGTGACTTTCCTGTCTGTTGTGTTGTGTGTGGTTTAAATTTATTTTCTAGTTCCCTCAGGAACACTTTTCATGGCCTGAACCAGACCTGCAAACTGTTGTGTAACAACAGCATCTCCACAGGCGACTGCAGAGCAGCCAGCAGAATATAGTGACAACACGGGGGACAGACTTCCTGTCGCACCTCCACTGTCTTCAATGCTTTTTACTAAAAAGCCTTGCACAGCCCAGCTGGCGGGCTCAGTGGGTGAGCCAGGAACTCACGGTTCGATTCCTGGTTAGGGCACATGCCCCAGCTGCAGGATCGATCCAGTGGGGCGTGCAGGAGGCAGCCAATTGATGATTCTCTCATCATTGATGTTTCTGTCCTTCTCTCCCTCTCCCTTTCTCTCTGAAATCAATAAAGTATTTTTTTTAAAAGCCTTTCAAATCTATCACAGAGCTATCTTCCATTTGTTTTGCTAAAATTCTATTGATTCCATTCCCATGGACTCAACTATACTCCCTTTTCTTTCCTTTCATGGTAATGGTGAATTAACAAGTTCTTTACGTGATTCCACATGACGTGAGTTTGAAGAGCATGTGTTAAAAAGTACATCCTTTCCATGTTGTTGAGCCACCAGCACATCCAAACCCCTGGGGGAATGACGCTGAGGGGTGGTAAACCCAGCTGCTTCCCAAACAAACTGCCGCCCGCTTCCTTCCTCCCAGACGGGCCGTTTCTCCCGGGAGCACAGCCGTCGAGCCCGACCACGAACACGGGATAAACCAGTTGGGAGGAAGCTGAGGTCTAGCCTTTCACTGCCTAAAAGGGGTACTGTAATTAATACTGGTTTTGATAAAAATAACCATTTATTCCTTACAACTGTTAAGACACTACCAGACAGGGTACCAATAGCCCCCGAAATCCCGGCTGTTGGTAATGACTTCACAGATAGTGTTCTTCTATGGACACACACAGACACCGCGCCCCCCCCCTCCCCCCCGCCCCGGTTCTGTCCTGATCTTTTCTACCTAACTTTAGAGCTTCACCACAATGAAAGGACCTCGCTTACCTGAATACCGACCCATCTCTCCCCTCTAGAAGGTGATGCTTAAGGGAGGTGCCTCACCTGTTCTGCTCACTAACTGACCAGAGCCCACGGCAGGAGCCACGAAGCAGCCGCGGGTCCCTGTCCTGTGCTTTCTGGCTACCATGTGGGCCTGCGGTGGGTGCCCGAGCTGCCCTAGGAGCCCAGGTGAGGGGCAGTGTGAGGGCAGCACCTCCACGACACCTCCCTGCCGTGACCTCTTATTAGCGACTCATCACTGGCTGGCTTTGTCACCTGCATTAATTCTGACACCTCCCTCCCCTGCACGTTGGTTCTCTCTCCTTCCCTTCACAGGCAGGGACGGTTTCCTGGAAGTTAGGCGGCTGTGGTTCCAATTAAAACAATAAGCCAGCTCCCAGCAGGTCAGCCCGTTTCCCTGGGTAAGTTGGAGAGGGATGGGCCGGCGAGAGCTGCTCCCAGGACACGCTGGGGTGAGGGACCAAGGGCACCTCCAGCCAGCAGCTTTGACAACTGGGAAGACAGCTCTAGGCCGGACATGCCTCCACCCAGCTGTGTCCCTGCTCACTCTGGCCCTGAGAACATGGCAGGCCTATCAGGTCTGTAATGTACCTCCCAGTTACTGTAACCTTATACATAATATGAGCTCTGGGGACACATTAAACACAGCAGGAAAAAAATGCTGACCAACGGAAACCGCAGCAGGGACACACTCACACTGCCTCAGCAGCAGAGCGTGGCCCCAACCCAGTAACGAATTAAACGTTAACTGAACAGTTCCCTGTGATGCTGAGGAGTTAGGGCCACGTCATCACTTTACTGCAGTATAAACATCACCTTTTGAAAAAGTCTCAAATATCGCAAGGAGAGCTTCTCGGTGTGAGCCGAGCGAGGAGACTGCAGGATCCTGGCTACAGGCAGCTTCTGCCCATTTCCTAACCAGCTGGACCAGCGAAGGAAGGGAAAATGCAAATATTACAAAATGAATTCACGCAGTGACGAAGGCCAGCACCTAAGTAACTATCATCACACACACGCAGAGGCTGCAGAGACACTCGAGTGTAACTGCAAACAGTGAAAGCCGGGAACAATAGGAAGTTCACACCAGGAGGCTGGGGAAGTGAGTTACAGTGGAATGACGGGCATGCTCCATCACTGCGGGCACAGTCATGGATGGGGCGGGGCCTGTGGGCTCTGCAGACCTGGGGAGGGGGGCTGCTGGTAACGGGCTCCCACCCCTTCAGCCAGGCCACTCGGCTCCCGGAGGCTGTATGCTCCTAATTAAACAAAGGGCCTTGGGCTGTAATACTTCACAAAATAGGAAAACATTGCAAAATATATAAGTAAGTGAGAACTAGGCTATAAAATAGCACTACAGTATAAACCCAATGTTGTTAAAAACTTAGGATTAAAATAATACATATAAAAAAGATGTATGTGTAAACTGAAAAATGGTTAGAGGACACAGAGATATAGATAAATCTCAACTCCTCAGGAGTGGAGGTTATTGGTGATTTTTATTTTAGTCCCTTTCCCCCTGTATTTTCTAAGTTTTCAAGAATGAACTGCTATTATTTCTGTATTCAGAAAGTTATTAAAAAGTATTACACAGAAGCACAAGAGGGCGATATGATCAACCAGCAGCCTGTTTCTCACCCAACTTGTGATTTGATTTAATACAGGATGCGGAACCAGATGGAGTGAATAAGGTAAAAGCAATT